TTCCCGCCGCCGCCGCCGCCCCCCCCCCCCCCCCCCCCCCCCCTCCTGTAGACGATCACGGTGGGTCCGTCCTTTCGACAACACACGGGGCCCCTACCCCTCCGGTTCCCGGGGGCGACGTGAAGAAGGTTCGGACGACGGGGGGGGGGGGAGGGGGGGACGCAGACGAAGACAAGGCGGCGGTGAAAAGGATTTTCCGGGATTTCGACAACGTTTCGGAGCTGCTAGGCCTGGAACAGGTGAGGGGGGGGGGGCTCCGCCGAGCAAAACTAATATTTCTCATTTCGCGTTGTGGGGGCTCCGTCGATTCGTGTTGAACGAAAAAACGTTGGGGTGTAGGGGAGGAAGGGAGCACACGCGGACGATGGCGTGTTTCAATATTTCGTTTGGAAGAGCAGCGTGTATCTGGCGTCTCCACTGCTGCAGCGGGCAAGCTTACGGTTTCCGCAAACAAACACTTCCGTCAAGAGAAGCCAGTGCGCGGTATGACAGCAGTAGTGGATCTCGACGCAATGGACCCTGCGACGAGATCCGCTGCCTGCATTATGATTTGAAGCGCATGACAAAAACATGTATTATGTGGTGCACCCGTTAGGCCCGTGGTCACGGCAAAGGATACCAGAAGTACGTCGCGTTTCTTCTACAGGAAGTGGTCTATGGCCAGGGAACAACCAGCGTTTTTTTTGGAACACATCAATCCAATCACTGAAAAAACTACTCATTCGAGGGGTGATATTATCCCAGTCGAAGGGGCGCGTTGACTGAATTGTTCACAGTGGCTGTGGAGACTTGCTGGATGTTTGTATTGAGCCTGTTTTTGAGCCTACACACTGAAGCATCGGTGATGTCAGGTGGCACAAGTTGCAATACCACCTCCGTAGATATATTCATGTTTCTTTTTCTTCTCAAGACCGAGGAACAACGTTGTTATTGTTACTGCTGTTGATGATAACGCCTTTTGGCTGCCGGTTCTGGCTAACCCAAACTCGGTCTTGAGGAACAACGTTGTTATTGTTACTGCTGTTGATGATAACGCCTTTTGGCTGCCGGTTCTGGCTAACCCAAACTCGGTCTTGAGGAACAACGTTGTTATTGTTACTGCTGTTGATGATAACGCCTTTTGGCTGCCGGTTCTGGCTAACCCAAACTCGGTCTTGAGGAACAACGTTGTTATTGTTACTGCTGTTGATGATAACGCCTTTTGGCTGCCGGTTCTGACTAACCCAAACTCGGTCTTGAGGAACAACGTTGTTATTGTTACTGCTGTTGATGATAACGCCTTTTGGCTGCCGAAGAAAGCAAGTCGCGAGGGGTCTGACTAACTCAAACACCCGAACGGTCCGATTGAGTTCGGTCGCTAGATGCTCTGCCGCTGCTGTATATCCACAACCATCAGCGAAAGTACCCCCTTCTTTCCTACCCCCCCCCCCCCCCCCCCCCCCCCCAAGGGGGCCAAGAAAAACCCCCCCACGGAGAAATCTGGGGCCCCCCCCCCCCCCCCACCCAAAAACCAATTCCCAACCCAAACCCAAAACCGGGAAACCCCCCCCCCCCGGCTAAACCAAAGGCAAAGGAACAAAAAACCCCCCAGCCCTCCCCCGAAAACCGGCCGGGGGGGAAAGGCGGGCCCCA